ACATGAATGCATATTTTTCAACACAATTCTTGTGAATATAAATATTCCGTAATCTTTTGATATTTGTCATTGTGATAATTAAGAGTAGTGTATAAAAATCAGTACCGTTTATTTACTTTTAACACAATAAAGCCAGCGGAACATGACACTGACAGTAATGTTAGCATTTCTGAATATCGTACATGTAATTTACGTGGAAATAGATATAAATAGATATTTGTGTACAATCAATACAATTATTTACTACATAATTTAAATTTGTGTATATTTTCAACAAAAAATATTATTTTACAAAGTACACGTTTAGCTACATTTTATATTTTCAAATATGTATTAATGCGTCACATATGTATATTAGTCTACTATTATATATATATTTAATATTACATGAAATAATAAAGTAAAATACCATATTAGTTTAGTTTGAAATTATATATTAGTTTTGTTTCATGATAAATCCAATTTATCCAATGTATAGAATATTAAAAAATCGTGAAAATAAATTTAAAATGATACTATTCTTTTTATAATATATATATAACAGTTTATTTCTCATTTATAATATATTTAATAACATTCCATAGACATAATATAGTACCATCATATATTTAAAACAACAAGTACTATATACGTATAGCTCCTTATGTTTGGGATTTGCGTATGGATATGCTTTATTGTGAAAATGGCCTCCGCAATATTTAATAATGAAAGCGATCATTTTAGCCAACCCAGAGGGAAAAGGTTATTGTTTTAAATTATATTGCGTAATTTAAAATAAATATTCCTCGCAACAGAACGACGATTATTGTAGCTGTATTTATCAAATACAGAAAGCATAAAGGTAAGCTACGAACACACATCTATTTATAAACGACGTATTATTTTTGTTACTTTAAATAAAAAAATAGTGTATGAATTTCTACTGTCAAACAATAGTCTGTTGCGCTGCTGTAGTTTATCTTGCTTAAATAGTAATTGGATAACAGTGATAGCCAGGTTTTATAGATAAAGAGTCGCTAGTTGGTAAAGCTCGGCGTTTGGCCGTGATTGTCAGAAGATTGCTTTCGTTTTGGGTCTGTGCGTAATCTCTGAAAGTATTTTTGTGCGGTCTAACTTCGGATATGGGGACCGCTGATGTGTATTATGTCATTATGGAGTAAAGGCAGCGTAAGTAGTCCATAGTAATATTAGTCGCAGGGTTGCCCTGTTATGTATTAAACCTCCCGAAAGTAATCCCTCAGCAATATTAGTATACGAGTACATTTATTTTTTTATATTAGAGACCCGCTAGTTACGCAAAAATATTAGACGACTACTAAATATATTTTGCACTATGATTGAGCAGCGTCATAATGGAATAGTAAGTACTTATAAAATAAGGAGATAAATTTAACACTAATACATATATATTTCATGTACATTTATTGCCATATTAGTTATTATTTGTAAAGAGAAAACGGTAGTTTCGAGTGCTGCGGAATAAAAATTTACGATAAATTATACGTGGTACGCAACGATTCATTACACTGTTTTCCCCTGAGGAATATAAATAAAAGATGTGCGTCTATTTGTATAAAAACAAAATAACGTAACGACGTGAAGATGGCTCTGCGCAAAGACGTTTATAATAACAAGCCACAAAGGAGGCAAACGGGCAATAAATACAATGTGCTTAGTTTTGCAAGAATAATCCTAATCTTCTCTCGTCTTAAACGTTAGCCGCGCTATTTCATAATGAGAAAGTCATATCAGAACGCAACACAGGCCATAATGTGAGTAATAAAGTATAATTAACTGTATGTAGGTTGTTTTGGTTTATGTGAGTGCGATTAGGGAACGGAGGCTGAAGCCATTCTGCTGCAAGTACATTCCACAGCGAAACTAATTTGTTTCAACTTTACATGGGGAAATTGTTGACTAATATCCAAATAAACATGTGTCTATATACGTCGCGTCTGGTATGAGATCGGCAGAGAGAAATGACTCTTGTTTGTCTTATATTGACTGATATATTCCGTTACAGTAACATTCGTCATTTGTACGTGCGTTCACTCGTCTTTGTATAAATAAAATAAACAAAAGAGTATCTCAAATAATCGCTTATAGAATTCCATAGCTTTATTGTGAGGTTGAGCTTATGAACATATGTTTACAATACATTCGAGTCATAGCATTCGTGTCACATGAAGCCAAAGTATAGTTTATTTATTTACGGCCTTGGTGATCTAGCAGTTTACACAGTGCTTTACTTTCTATGGTCGCGGGTTCGATTCCTCCAACGATGCAAAGATTTGTGTACCTAAGTATTTATATCAGTTATCTGGTACTCACAATACATGCTCTGCTTAGCTTTGGACTAGATGACGCTGTGAGGATTGTACAGGGTAATTTTTATTATTATTTAATTAAGAACACTAACAGTATACTAGTACATTCGAAAAAATATTGAAAATAAATTAAATGTGTATACGTATTAATTATAGTTTCTCAGTATAATACAATTATAATAAGTAAAATTAATAACAATTATTTAAAACAATCTCCTGTCATTAGTACAGGCCCTTTTTGAACATTATGTTAATTTAGCGGGTACGAAGGACTTTTGTGTTTAACTGTACGTATTATGTAGTATGTACCTAATCGTTGGTACACGGTGGGTAATGAACGCATACCGTATTCTCAGACTAATTGGCCTATAAAGAAGAACACCCCTTCGCCTCCCTTTGCGTCAGAATTTCATTTTAGAGAACACGACTGCGGTGCCTACGAATGAAAGGCTTCTGTTGTGAATTATTTTTGTTTATTATGTACCAAAAGATCCGCAGTCGAAGCCGTATCAGAAATGATTAATTTCGTTCACTTCTTCTGATGTACAAGCCAAGAGTATACTACTGGGAGTGATACAGCAAGAACGAAGGCTTCGGTTGTACATATTTTATTACTTGTCTGCAGGAAAAATATGACATAATTTTTATTATCCAATAAAGTTGTTAGCAATAAACGATTAAGGTTACAATAAAACATAATAAAACAAGTTCATTAATGACAATATAATATATTTTTTTTTTGTTGTAACCATTTAAGTTGTTAAGTACTACTAGTTGTTAAGAGCTACTATCTAATACATTAAAAACTTAATCAACAGCAAAATTATCGAATTTACTTGATATAATTTCAATTCATCATTCAGAAATTAATTTTTCAGTCTTGATACTTATTTTCATGAAAGAAAATATACTTGTCGGATAGAGTTTTTAAAAACATAGTTTTTGGTTTTGAAGCCTTACTTCAAAAATAATATTTCTTTTAGTCTAGTCCAGTCCAGTATATAATATAGGTACGTATGTGTATATCCAGATTGTTGTACTAGGTATACGATTTTTTTAGGTAAAAATATTAGCAATATTTTGCGCTTAGAATGAAATTTATTACCTTTATTAGTCAGATATCATACATAACCTACTTAGCTTATATACTCGTATGATAACTCATATTTTTTTATATAATTAGAATGTTAAAAATCTAACTGCGATTTATACTTGATGGTAAGCGATAACCATACGCTTGTATACATGAACCAAGCACAACGAACATCATGATATCATGTGACACCTATGATACCACTCACGTTGGAATTCCAGAGAACTATGATGTCATAGGAGAGAGAGTCTCCTGTAATTTCACTGCGTAATCTGCATCCTAGAATCCTTGCTGTGTTTCCACACAGCAACAATGCAAACTGCTTAGCGGCTGAATTAAGAGAGACTAAGGAACGCCCACAGACAACTTTTTCAATATACCTCAGATACAACCTACAACACATGTTACAATAAGAAAATATAAAAAACCAATTGCCAATTTAATGTGTTTATTTTAATTGTTCAATATTGAGTACCAATGTTCGTTAATTTAAATTACTTTATTTAAATATCATTATTTTAAATTAAACCAAACTTTGTTAAGATAAATATATTAAGAAAACGTCTAATTAAAAATTACTACTTACATTTAATTTATAATAAATAATAAAGCCTGTGTAGGTCAGTCGGAAGAAACTCGGATGATACCAAACTAATTAGATCTTGTACTGGAGTACAAGTGATACTTGAATATTTTTTATCTCTGTATATTCATCGTATTTATATATAAAAAAAGAATATTACGTACTATATGTATATAGTAAAGCATCGAACCAATCGGTACTGATTGGTATAATAAACCTAACATAGAAAAGTTTATTGTGCGGATGTCGTATAACAATAAATGAGGCAATGTGGTAAAAAACTGATTGTGTAATATTAATAAAAAAACAAGTTATTACTTATTAGTAATTTATAACTGGATTACCAAAAATAATATTATTAGATATTTTTACGCTATTTATCATCACCTGTTTCATATATATATGTAATCACTATGATAATCCACACAGCCATTCCGTAAATCTGTTGAGTTTTTCAGACTCCCCTTTTTTTTATTCTCCACTCAATTTATGAAAGTACCTACGCGTACTAAAGAACGAGGTATGATATTTCATGCTGTCATTGTTAGGTGAAGCGTGAAGTTTTAGCTTTATTGAAAGTTTTATATATTTTATGTAGTTTCATTAAGTTATTCAGGTCCCGCTATTGGGTACGCCTGGTTTATTTGTCTTTTAAAGAAGTCAATCAGTAGCTTTCGTTGTTGTATTATAAAAATAATGTCATTTTAGAGTTCATACTTATCTTCTATACTATTCCATTGTATACGTTAAATAAACATATATATATTACTATTACTACCGCTAGTTCTTCTGTTTCTTCTTTATTTCTGAAATAACTAATATTATGTCTATAATACTTTTGTCACACTCATGTGCCATTATGCAATATATGTACTAATTATCATTCGTTGCATAGTAGATATGTATACACTGTTATGTAAACATTGTGTATGACTTATTTACCAATTGGTACACTTGCCACCTAATTGTTGACTAAAATATATATTTTCTATTACAGCATCGCGTATTCGATACGAGATCACGAGCGGGAACATAGGCGGCGCCTTCGCAGTCAAGAACATGACAGGCGCTATCTACGTGGCGGGTGCACTCGACTACGAAACTAGAAAACGGGTGAGTGATCTCCATTATTTACTTTCAAAACTTGGTCATACTTATAATAACATGCCAATCGTACTAACATCACGTACTTATTTATAAATGAAAATCAAAACCTATTAATAATAAAGGTCTCATTTCGACATCACAAAATAAAAGCCCTATTTAATTTCCGTAGATTGTTTCTTAAGTATACAAACCTCAATGTTTCCATGTAATTGAAATGAAACGTATTCTGTCTTATTCTTCAGACTTCGGAAATAGAAATCAATTTATGTACTCAGATGTTGACAAATTAAACTGTCATCCAATTTTGTGATGTGTCTGTTCGTGTGTAATTTTAGCGATTCAAAATGAATGCTGCAATTATTTTTAATTTAACTCAATATTGATAAATGAAAATTAAATTGGGTTTCAATATGCCACAAAGCGAACACGTTATTATTTACTCCTATGATACATGATTACGACTCTAATTTTAAATGTGGAATAAAGTGATTTTAATTTTGTGTAAGTCACTCAAATATCAAACCCAAATCACATCTTTTAAATATTCAGACCGAGTGCAATCTTAGTTACATTTCCGAAGGAATATTGTCAGATAGCCATTTTTTTAGGCATAACGCACTCAAATACCCCGGATTCTATATCTCTCAACTTATCTTAATCCTGTATTGAGAAGTATAATAAAAATTGCTTAATTAAATTTGTGAATTATAAAATTCAATATCAATATCACGTAACTATCGTTGCTCAAAATAAAAACGATAATATTAAGGTGTATTTCAAGGAATCCGCTTTTGAATGATGAATGATTTGCCCCTAGTGTAAGGACAAGAGTGCCGCAGTCGTGACTGAAAATAACTTTGAAATCAGTTACCGACAAAAACCCGTCACTTGAAATGTTAAATAGAAAAGATTCATTATATTTTTTGTGCTAGCGTTCCGGGTAATGTGAGTTTGAAAATACTAATGGAACTTGTAAGTAGAAAATGTTGTTTGTGTTTTCTCGACTATAACGCGCGCGTTTTCAAATTCGAATGATTTAAACTGTAATAATTTCAGTACGATACGTTTGAATTAACATTTACTGATACTGATGATATTTAGCACTTTAATAAGTCAATTAAATTGAATATATCATGTTTACTCTTTACTCATGATTCTCATGCTCAATGCCCAATGTATATAATAAAATGTATTGGTATAAATTTTAGATGACCTTGATGTGCAATTATGTAAAATATTAACTTTAGTTAGTAGTTTACATATTTTGTTTAAAAAAAATTATAACAAAATGTCAATAGAACATACTTTCGCATTATGTATAAGTTAGAAAGTATAAAACGCTGAGATCTGTCTTAAAACATCCTCTTTCTCTATAGTAACCTAACTACACAACAACCTATCGTTTATATTTTACTAGGAAAAATGATAAAGTTATTTATTTTGTCATAATACTGGTATCCAGGTGTTTATAATCTCCTGACCTTTTTTATGCTTGTACGGGCACATAAAAGGTCTGTTAGTCATATCTTTTCACCTGGTCTCATGAAATAACAACCTAAACACTAAAATAAACTTATTTAAATTCGGTAATAATTTCCTATTTCACACTATTGAATAAAATAAATGTAAAGGTATAAAATCATACTATAAAATTATTTTTTTAATTGTAAAATTCTGAAGGGGACTATATTTCAGTCATAACTTTTCGTGAAACCAGGGTTAGTGCTTTTACAAATTGAGCTACCGTTTTGTTGAATGTGAAGCGGTTGATAAGACAATCCATTTAGTCTGTACAATGATTCCAGTCCTCTTTTAATTAAACTTTGGTCGCCAACTCAGGGGTAACAATACTATTGCATGAGCAACATAGCATCTAATTTAATGTCAATGAAGTTATTTATATGAATACTTAACTCTTATTACATAAATATCATCCAATATCAGATTATCAGATTACTTCTTATAATCAGTACAAAACTCTAGATTTGAAACAAAATTTGCATTCATTCCAGCTTAATCTAAAATATATAATAAACGTGGTACGATGATCAATATTATCTTCTAAGTTATGCTATTAATATATATCCAAGGTGAGACAGGTTAAAAATTATTAATCACCTTTTGAATATAATTTTCTGCTAAAATAAACGCTGTGAAATTGTGAAACAGTGTTTTAATTTCTTTGGCGAGTTTAAATTTGAAAACATCGTGTTGGTGCGGCGCCGTGCTGCGGCCTATATAGCCATCAGAAGAGCTCTCTTTGTTATGGCCTCGAGAAAGTTACGTCAAACTTTCCGCGAGATAAATAATTTAATCTTTAATACCCATTTAAGCGAGCCGGCGTAGTTCCTACCAAAGGCTGTATTGCTATTAAACTGCAGATTCTCACGGAGCTTTAATGAAAATGGGTTTATTCTGTGGACTCCTTTCAAGCTTGTATAAGCCGTTTGGTCATTTTGTTTAATTGACTTTATAAAGTGTGTAATTTTTTATGTTCACATACACTGTATTAGTAAATACTTACATAATCATTACGATCTAGATCTAACAACAGCTGAAAACTAACAACTACTTAAATTAGACTTAAATATTCAAAACATTTCAATATTATTATTCATAACATAATAGCAGATTTCGAAATCATATTTAAGTGACTTCCAAAAGAAGAAACATTTTGACCATCATTTTTTTATGTAACTTTAGTAGAATATGAAACAAGCATACAGCTCAACCTGATGGTAACGTACGGACATCATATTATCATTCCGGAAAACCAAGATATTATGCTTGGGTACCCTGTAATTTCACTGCCTTATCTCATCCGTTAACCGATACCTATTTTACTGTATTCTGCTTAGTGGCCTAAACTTTGTTATATAGTTATAAAGACATTCTCACAGACAACTTTCTATAAAGTCTATATCAGTAATAACTGTATCTGAGTTTACTCTCGTCTTAGAGATTTTTCTCAGCATTGGAAGTCGGTTTCTTATGAAATAAAAATTATTTTATTAGATGTATGATATTTACAAGTATTAATATTATTGCAGCCAAAATTCTAGTACCTGAGATAGATAAATATTTTTATATGTACTTGACAAATCAATATAATGGACTGAACACGTCCCATTATCCTCCATCAGCCGCCCTCTAATGATATTGGGACAGGACAGAAAAAACAAACAGAACTTGTTATACTAATCTCTTGAAAAGCTAGATATTACACTTAGTCTGCCTCTGAATACGATTCTCACATAATACATTTTCACCAATATTGAATACTCAACATAGATTGAATATGCCTTTAAATACACTCAATTACAGTAACTAAAACAAGCAGATCTTTACTCGTTACAAATTAAAGGTGGTATCGTTGATTAAATTAGTGAGCCATATAATTTTAATCAGTTTCAATTCGACAAATGATCAAACGTCCTTTAGAAACTTATATGTTATGTGTAAGATGTCTTTACATATAAACATTTCCTACCAAGCTGAGGAAATTACTGAGCGACACTGACAGATGACACCAATAACTCCCTGGTGACACAGTGTCTTTCTGTTTTCGAAGCAAACGTTAACGTATTATTATACCTCTAAAATATTCCCACTACTGGGATACAACTTGTAACTCACTCCAAAGAGAATCTAAATGAAAATGTATTGTCTGATAGTATGTAGTTGTAAGTATTCATATATTACAAAATGGTAGTTTTTTAATTAAGTATCACAACATCGTTAGCACCTTTAATTCGACGCTTGTAATTTTAAAAGTTTACCAAAAGAACTTCGTCGCCTTATGAAATATGATTCCGCCCAACTTCTATAAACTTAGATATTCCTGTTATTCTTCGAATTAAAATAAAGTTAATTAAAGCCATTCCTTTTTAAACTTTTTAGATTAAAAATATAAAAAAACTCTGTTTTGTAGTTACAAAATTACAAATTGTGATATCATTATTCTTAAAATATCACACATATACATACTAAATCAAATCGAATACGTTTTCGTATACGATGCAATAGTAGAAATATATATTTTAATTAATAACAGTATGAGCTGAAGTTAGCCGCGTCGGATAACCTGAAGGAAAACTACACTACAGTGGTGATTCACGTAAAGGACGTGAATGACAACCCGCCTGTGTTTGAGAGGCCCACCTACCGCACCCAAATCACCGAGGAAGATGACCGCAACCTGCCCAAACGGGTCTTACAGGTCCGCTTCGCTGTTGTGTCGTACATTAGATTCTTTATTCAACCGTATCTGAGGCACATTTCAATATGGACCACATTTTTATAGCCATTTTATCGATTTTGCATGGCATGAATATTTCGTTTGTGGCTGTTTAATTTTGCCGTAGTGTTGTTTTGTTGCTAGTGTCCGTCTTGTTGTTGTTTGTTGTTTTATTTGCATTTAACTTTTTTATAGTGTTCCGCAGTTTAAGAACGAGGTCAGCGTTGATATCGAGGAGCTGCTGTCTTTTTGTTTTTGTTATGGAGTAGTTTATTCGTCATTACATAACTGAATTTTAATGAAATACGATTATTATTAATTATTTAGAGAAAATAGCAACTATTTCGTCTATTTAATATGACTAATAAGACCAGTTTAGTTTAGTTATTATTTTTAACGTTATATATATAGGGTTTAAAAATTTTAAGCAATAATAAATAATATAATAATAAAGCTAGCAGCCAATAAAACAAATATTTTTTTCCAAGAAATGTCTTAAATTCCTACTGAATTTCACTGAATGTCAGGTAACTTCACGTTCGCTATGATAAAGTTCTTTCAAAAATATCCCATTGGTTCTAATATTTATTTACCCGAAGCTATCAATATCGAAGTATTTTTAATATAATTCCGCAATGGATGCGGACTTTTCCCATTTTTATAACGATAATGACGGAAAGTTCGACAGCTATCGTGAGTTCAACAGAAGTGCGCGTTTAAAATTTGTACTTTTCAATTATTGCACGACTCCCGTAAACTTCTTTGCTCAACATAAATTAACTTCTTTGTAGTAATTAATCTGTGGCTTGAAAATATGACCAATATTTTCATTGCTGACTTTAATAGGAGAAATGACGATAGAAAAAATCATTACGATTATTTTTGAGCTAAAGTATCTTTTAATTCAGGTATTAACGATTTGTAGTATATCAAAAATAAAAAAAAAATGGTAATCTGTAAAAAACAAAGATGTTAAAAAATCATTGAAAATCTAAATTGCAATTACTTGAGTAATTCTTGAATTTGTAAAAAAAATTGCGTAAAAATACAAAATGTAATGAATAAATAAATATTTTACTAACAAAACTATTCATTTATAAACATATTGTGTACCTTATGATTGCACAAAAATAAATGAAATATTACCATTAGTATCGATAATAAATCGGACATCAAAATTGTAAGTGTAAATAAATAGTGTAGTGTTAAGTTTGCATGAGCATGTAGTTTGCTAAAGTGTGCGTATCGGCAGTATGACATGACGCTGGTCGCATCCGACGGCCGCAACGAGAACTCGACGCGTGTCATCATCCGAGTGTTGGACGTTAATGACCTGCCGCCTCGATTCACACACAGCGCGTACGTCACAGAAGCCTTAGAAGAGACAGGACCTTACCCCCGTTCCCTAATACAGGTTTTGTTTTGTTTTTATTTTTTTAAGCATTTATTTTATTTTCATTATTTATATTAGAGTATATCAATTTCATTTATGTTACTATTATTAACCCTTCCCAAATTCATTCCCCTTTTGGCAGTTTGATGGAAGACCCCCGTATCCCTCTATATTAGAGTTTTATTTATTTTGTAACTGTTTAAGAGTATTTTTGTTACTAACCACCCATCCTTTTCCCTATTGGAAGCAATAAATATAAATGTTACGATTGGTTTTTGGGTCACATTCATGAATAACATTCTCAAGTCCATACTATTCAAGTATTTCATAACAAGGTTCTGTATAACACAAGTGAACTTCTCCAATTTATTCAACAACTTCTTGTGGTAAGTATGTACGTACCCACTTACTTATTTTGGTGTGAGATTTTGCTTTATTAGCTTACATAATAGTGTTTTTGTGTATAATGCATCTTTAATGACTACTAGTTTCTAAGTCACAGTCACAAGCAAATATGTAAATCCTTTAGAACTTCAACACAGTTTCATTAGTAGAAACCGTTTTTTTAATAACCAATACTTTGTTATAATGACAAAGACAAAATAGTGTTTACATATTGTCCTTGTGATATTTGAATTCAGTGGTGCCTAAATTCCAGTAATAAAAGGTAAAAGGTATGCCATATATAATGGCTATGCATATATGTATGTCAATTTGTTTCAATCTTTTTCATTTATTAAATAACTTGCTTCACAAGATCGTCATCTAAATATATATAACTCAAAAGTGACTGACGTAGTCATCTATCAACGCACAGCCCAAACCACTGGACGGATCGGGCTGAAATTTGGCATGCAGGTAGATGTTATGACGTAGGCATCCGCTAAGAAAGGATTTTGATAATTTCCACCCTTAAGGGGATAAATTAACGCGAACGAAGCCGTGGGCAACAGCTAGTTATTAAATATATGGAGTGTAAAACTACGTAAATTTAATATCATTTTAGAATATATCATCTTTATAAGATATGTTGTAAAACTTCAAAGCAGAAATAATTTATTACAATCAATGTTGTTTTTTATCGCTCCAAAATAAATTTAATAATGTAGCAGCCATAATCCAAATGTGACAGTGACAGTTGAGTTTCATCTAAAATACCTACGGTGCTTTTGCAAGGTCTAAACATAATTTTTATAATTTATATTCACATTACATAAACACTAAGTCCTGGTACATAGATGTTATTAAATGTTTATAGGTAATTTATGTAATGTAAACAGTATTAGATGTGAAAAAAAAATTATATTTACTCTTTATGTTAAGAATAAATATATATTTTTTCTTTTATTAACTTAAGATCTGAAATTAGATACACAAAGCAGATGTATACTACACATATAGAAAGATATATTGAATTAGTAGCTCCGCCTTACTTCAAAACGCTAATTTAACTTTACTGTTTCTCTTTGTTGCCTATCTGTGGAGAATTACCTTTTGGAATGATCACTTTACTTAAGAGATGCCAAGTCGAAATTTTATTATTATACCGCTTGGTATCTATATCTTAGTTACATTCATGTTTACACGATTCATGTGTTATTTAGATTCCAACCCTTATGCGATATACACATACCTAATAATCCATTTCTTTAGGATTGTTTCATAATATTACAAATAATCACATATTATAATTCTCACTCAGGAATCTATTCTAATGAATGAATTAACTTATCTTATTTTTCATGATAATCATGTTATTCGATTCCTAATTAAATAATATGGGACAAAAGGTTGCTACCACCTTGTTGAATAATAAATTGTACGAAAATTAACTTGACATTTATACTAGATCATGAAAAATGTCCATCCGCCGTGAGAGTAAAGCTCTTGTCCCAAGTCGTTTGTAGTGACAAGCTTTTTATAATTGGAGTGAAATTCGCAAATGATCCGAGTAATTACGCAAATGTCGACCCTCTTCATTTCTCCTGGCCGGTCCTGAACCGCCTCTTCTAATTAGACATTCCCCTCACTCATATACGAAATATTTAGTGCATTTTCACAAAAATTGTTCCCAACTGGTACTTACTAGTCCAATGTAACTTCCACTGCTCTATTTTTTGTTGGATTGATGAATATAAAATAATGCATGGAGTGTTCTGAAAGGGCACCAGTGCAAAATCATAGCATGAGGTAAATCTCTGGTCAATTATCTTATCACAATATAATCGCCAGCAGTTAACCACGATGGCTTGCACATTGTATCGCGTGGCGGTCAAGGTTGTAAGGTACATTACTAGCAATGGAACCACAAATGCTTATTATTAACTATCCCCATCCTCTGTTGTCATTATACTTGTGGTACAGAAAATATTTACACTATATCCATTTTATATAAGTACAAAGAAATATAAAATGCATCTTATTCTTTAAAATATCAGCAACTTAAATACAATAAATATGTTTTTCACAACGGCGATTTGATCTGTATTCTTACGTGGAATATACTAGAATAAATGTATCTATAACATCCTAACTAAAACAATATCGCAGCTCTGTATTCTACAATCCAATAATTAATTTTATTTTTAAGAAATATCTAATGGCTATTTGTAGTTTCGATATGTCTGTACCTTTTTACGTACAATATGTTTACATTCTTTGTTCTCAGAATAGTGTACCGAAACTTTTGTGTTTTCATGATTTTGTAGGGAAACCTTAAAAAGGGGAAAGTTTCCGTTGCTTCCGGCGGTGTGATGCCGCCCTACTACCCTATACGACCAACGCACCGCCCGTTGCTAACAATCTTGGGTGTCGCTTGGTTCATAACTTCGACAAACTTCCGGGCACATAGATCCCTCTATAAAATAGTGATTATACTGGCGAAGCTTACATTTGTAAAGTAATAGGTATACACCTTGATGTGCAACCAATTTTATTTTACTACTTAATAACTCTATTTATTTCAAAATGTAAAATCATCTACAGTATTTCACTAAAATCTTGAGATATTAATAACGTCAAAATTCCTTGTAATATTCATTAATGCATATTTATTCCGTCTTGATGTAGTTATTTATTCATTTCATGTACATGTAAAGTTATTATATTTTCATATCTAATACAGAAAGCAAACCAAATTGATGACATAAAATCCTGTAATATTAACTTGTTTATAATATGTAATAGAATTAGTGAAATTATATCTTATTTATACATAACTGTCACTTAGGTAATACATTTATATTAGCTGTTTTAGTATTAACACTATATTTTGTAATAAATGTAAAGTTGAATATAATTAGGATATATCAACGAATTATGTTAATTTTGTTAAATATACTCAGAAATAAAAGCACTCTACACTATAAGGACTTCCTTAATGTATGATTCATTGTCACTGACAAGAAAGAAGCTATAAATATTTAAACGAAAAGTTTACATTATGTGTATACGTACTATGTTATATTTACACTCAACCTTGAATTTTACGTTTACGCATAAAAGCTCCGCCAGAGCATCTCATGCCCGTACATGTGACAAACTTATCGCATTATCCTTTCATTACTGATATGCCTCTATATGTCTTCAAATTACGTGTCATTAATACTAAATTATGTAATTAGGTAACGGCCACTGATGGTGACAAAGATAGACAGCAGAACATCGTATATTTTCTCACTGGACAAGGCATCGATCCAGATAACCCTGCTAATAGCAAATTTGACATTAACCGCACAACTGGAGAAATTTTCGTGCTCAAGGTAAGACTCTTGACTTTTAAATATACAAGTACTTCATTTTTATTTTTCAAAATTACTTTTAAATAGCTTTGTAGAACTGTCAACTATTTTCTTTTTTCAATATAACCATGTAGGATGGTAACAATTTAAATAAAAAAAGTATTAATCTTAAAAATTACAACGACGGTTACCGTTAAATAAAATATTATTGTGAGGGTAATAGGGATACCATATCTCCATAAAAATATCATTATATGTATATGTATTATTGCGAAATATAATATGATTATATGACTTCCGTAAGAAAATATCATATTTCAATTCAAATTATATATCTGTATTTCTATAATATGTATGAATAGAGCATTTATACGTAATCTGAAATAACCTACAAAGGGTGCACGTGAGTTGCATATCAATAATGCAGTCCCACATTGGTTGCATTCTGTCCGTATAATATTATGTGTACATAAAATTAAACACTACAATGAAAAACAAGATATCTTAAATATGTATTGTATAATAAATATATTGATTATTGGTAAATGTGTTTTAATGTATACAATAGAACTGACTACTGACTTTATGTATTAAATAATATAACTGATTACAGCCCCTAGATCGTGATCAACCGAACGGAAGACCACAATGGAGGTTCACTGTATTTGCTCAAGACGAAGGTGGTGAAGGTCTCGTAGGATATGCCGATGTTCAAGTCAATCTTAAGGATATCAATGACAATGCACCTATTTTCCCACAAGGAGTTTACTTCGGTAATGTGACAGAAAATGGCACCGCCGGCATGGTTGTTATGACAATGACTGCAATTGACTATGACGACCCTGCTGAAAGTAGTAATGCAAAATTATGGTACTCTATAGAGAAAAATGTTATCGAAGAAGAAACAGGTTCTCCTATTTTCGAAATTGAACCAGAGACGGGAGTAATAAAAACTGCAGTGTGTTGTTTAGATCGTGAAAGAACACCGGATTACTCAATACAAATTGTAGCATCGGATGGAGGGGGATTGAAAGGGACTGGCACAGCATCTATAAGAGTAAAAGATATAAATGATATGCCACCACAATTCACAAAAGACGAATGGTTTACAGAAGTCGACGAAACTGATGGCACCAATTTACCGGAAATGCCAATTTTGACTGTTACTGTTCATGATGAAGATGAAACTAATAAATTCCAATATAAAGTTATAGAAAATAGTGGTTATGGTGCTGATAAATTTACTATGGTTAGAAATAATGACGGTACTGGCTCTTTGAAAATAGTACAGCCATTAGACTATGAAGACCAATTACAAAGTAATGGTTTCAGATTTAGGATACAAGTTAATGATAAAGGAGAAGATAATGACAATGATAAATATCACGTAGCTTATTCATGGGTGGTAGTTAAGCTTAGAGATATAAATGACAATAAACCACAATTCGAAAGAGCGAACATAGAAGTGTCTGTCTATGAAAATGCAGAAGTTGGTAAAAGTTTAGAAACATTTAAAGCTACTGATCCCGATCAAGGTGGAAAAAGTAAAGTGTCATATGCTATTGATAGATCATCAGATCGAAAACGACAATTCTCAATAAATCAAGAAGGTACTGTAAGTATTCAAAGATCTTTAGATAGAGAGGATACACCTCGCCATCAAGTTAAAATCTTAGCTATTGATGATGGAGTTCCTCCACGAACAGCTACAGCAACTCTTACAGTAATTGTTCAAGATATAAACGACAACGCTCCAACATTTTTGAAAGATTATAGACCAGTATTAACAGAACATATTAATCCAAAAAAAGTGGCAGAAATTTTAGCTACAGATGATGATGATAGATCAAAAAGTAATGGCCCACCTTTCCAGTTTCGATTGGATCCTGGTGCAGATGACATAATTCGTGCTTCTTTCAAAGTTGAACAAGATCAAAAAGGTGCTAACGGAGATGGAATGGCAATAATTTCTTCTTTAAGATCATTTGATAGAGAACAGCAAAAGGAATACCGCATCCCTATCATTATCAAAGACCATGGAAATCCCGCCATGACCGGAACAAGTACACTTACCGTTATAATTGGCGATGTTAACGATAATAAAATGCAACCTGGCTCTAAAGAAATACTTGTATATAATTATCAAGGCCAAGCACCAGATACTGAAATTGGCAGAGTATATGTTTATGATCTCGATGATTGGGATTTACCTGATAAGAAATTCTTTTGGGAAAGTACAGAACATCCAAACTTCACGTTAAATGAAGAAACTGGTATGATACAAATGAAACACAAAACGAAAGAAGGAAGATACCATTTAAAATTCAAGGTTTATGATAGAAAACATACACAAACAGATGTTCCAGCAAACGTAACAGTATATGTTAAAGAAATATCTCACGAGGCATTAATGAATTCAGGTTCAATACGAATATCGGGAATATCAGACGAAGACTTTATTAGAGTATGGAATTATAAAACGCTTAGTGATTCGAGGAGTAAACTAGAAATATTTAAAGATAAATTAGCAGACTTGCTTAATACTGAACGTGAAAATATTGATGTATTTAGTGTTCAACTCCGAAAGAAGCACCCACCTGTTACAGACGTAAGATTTTCAGCGCATGGAGCTCATTACTATAAACCAATTAGATTAAATGGTATAGTTCTGATGCATAGAGAAGAAATTGAAAGATCTGTTGGAGTTAATATTACAATGGTTGGCATTGACGAATGTATCTATGAAAATCAAATGTGTGAAGGTTCCTGTACTAATGTGCTCGATATCAGTAATTTACCATATATGGTCAACGCTAACAAAACAGCACTAGTGGGAGTACGAGTTGATGTAATTGCTGAATGTACATGCGGCGCTAGAAATTTCACTCAGGCAGAAACTTGTCGTAACTCACCATGCTATAATGGAGGTAGATGTATTGAAGGCAAGTACGGCCTAACTTGCTCATGCCCACCAGGCTATACAGGTCCTAGATGTCAGCAAACGTCAAGGAGTTTTAGAGGCACAGGCTGGGCATGGTACCCCGCATTAGAAATGTGTGATACTTCACACTTAAGCTTTGAATTTATAACACGAAAATCTGAAGGTGTATTACTCTACAATGGGCCCATTGTACCGCCTGAGCCAGATGAAATAATGGTATCTGATTTTATTTCAGTAGAATTAGAACGAGGCAATCCTAGATTGTTAATTGATTTTGGTTCTGGCACTTTAGAACTGAGAGTGAAAACGAAAAAGTCACTAGACGATGGTGAATGGCATAGAATAGACATTTTCTGGGATACAGAAAATGTCAGAATGATTGTTGACTTCTGTAAATCTGCTGATATACAGGAAATGGAAGATGGTACTCCACCAGAATTTGATGATTCAACATGTCAAGCTACAGGAACTATACCTCCATTTAATGAATATCTAAACGTGAATGCACCCCTACAGATAGGTGGTTTATATATAGAACATTTTGATCCCACTCATTATCACTGGCAATACATGCCCATAGGAAAAGGTTTTGATGGATGTATACGCAACTTGATACATAATAGTAAGTTATATGACTTAGCTCATCCTGGACTGTCCAGAAATTCTGTAGCGGGTTGTCCTCAGACCGAAGAAATTTGTAATCAAGCTGATACTACGTCAAGATGTTGGGAACACGGAACATGTGTGGGCAGCTTTTCTGAAGCAAGATGTCAATGTCAACCTGGTTGGACAGGACCGTCATGTAATTTACCTACAACGCCAACTAGTTTCAGACCACAAAGTTATGTTAAATTTGCTTTAAGTTTTGAACCAGATCGATTTAGCACTCAAATACAATTACGATTCCGTACTCGTGAACCCCATGGTGAACTCTTCAGAGTAAGTGACCAACATAATAGAGAATATGGCATTCTTGAAGTAAAAGAATCTCGTTTACACTTTAGATTTAACCTTAACTCTTTACGTACTGAAGAACGTGATGTATGGTTAAATTCTGTTCCTGTTGATGATGGTCAATGGCATATAGCACGAGTTAGTCGATATGGAAGTGCAGCGACGTTAGAAATTGACGGCGGTGAAGGGAGAAGGTATAACGAGACCTTTACTTTTGAGGGACATCAATGGTTATTGGTGGATAAACAAGAAGGCGTATATGCCGGCGGAAAGGCTGAATATACAGGTGTTAGGACATTTGAAGTATATGCAGACTTCCAAAAAGGTTGCTTAGACGATATCAGGCTAGAGGGCAAGCATTTGCCTCTACCTCCGGCAATGAATGGCACGCAATGGGGACAAGCAACCATGGCAAGAAATCTCGATCGAAACTGCCCGTCTAATAGTCCATGCATTAATGTTCACTGCACAGAGCCATTTGTATGCGTCGATTTATGGAACGAATACGAATGCACGTAAGTATATTTATTATTTTCACACTAATTTACAATCATTATAAATACATATGATTTTTTTTCTAATCCTTTAAAGAAATTGATATTAAACTTCTGAAATAAGGAATATTGTAATGAACGATCCTAATAATTAAAAAAAGTATTGCTTCATTAATTTTTTAATTTCTAGCATCATATGTTTAAACGCGCACTGAGTTTCTCAATATTTTCTTATGCTTTTTATATATATACAATAAGTATAACAATACATTTAATATTGAAAAAATATTTTATTTAATTTAATTTAAATAAAATCTTTATAATCACTCGTATTATTATTAATCTTCATCTCTTATATATTACATATAATTACTTTTAGTATAGTATTATACTTTATATGACTAACATTTTAATATAGTATACTAAAGTGCATATTGGACTGGTGTTTAGTTGCGGTGAGGGTTTGGTATTGTCTCCGGACGGCAAAGGTTGCGTAGACAAGAACGAGTGTCTCTACTTCCCATGTCGCAACGGCGGTTCGTGTGTGAACCGCGAGCCCGGCTACCGCTGCCACTGTCCCGAGGGTTTCTGGGGCGAGAACTGCGAACTCGTTCAAGAGGGGCGCACGCTCAAGCTCAGCATGGGCGCGCTCGCTGCCATCCTCGTCTGCCTCCTTATTATCATGAGTGAGCACAATTCAGATGCGCTTCCCGCGTCCGTCATTAGATTTCTGTCCCATCGCACTCTCACACTCGCACTTATCACCATCCATAGTTCATTTTATAGATGTATATGTGTATTCTAGCTGTTTTATTAGTATTATGTATAAGGTAGATCATGTATTCGGGGGGCTCAGTGCGCGATGCGGACACGTCCGCAGCGGGAAGGTAAAGCGCACATTGTATAGGTGTCCGGGTGGATCTACTCGGGCGTCCGGCACTTGCGTGAACATAAACGAGTGCCTGATGAACCCGTGCCGCAACGGGGGCTCTTGCATCGACCGGGAGCCGTCGCGCCGCTACGACTGTATTTGCGCGTTTGGCTACACCGGCCACGACTGCGAACTGGAGTTACTCGCATCGGGAATCATCACACCATCCAGGGATTTCATAATAGCTATCATTGTCTGTTTGTTTTTGCTTTTAGGTGAGCACTTTAATTTTTGGCATGTTTCTCTAGACCAGTGTTTTTTAAAGGTTACGTCTCCATTTCGGTACTCCTCTGGGATATACAATTCTACCAAGCTTCCAAAAAATTGTGCTCTAATTATTTTATAAACGTAAAATATCAAATTTAATTTTATATAATAATGAACAAGCGTCAGACTACATAATAATTAAAACTGTTTGAGAGGGATTTTCATAATTAAGTATATTAGGGTCGCGATGTCATTAAGTTTGAAAAACACTGCTCTAGACTTAATGATAATTTCTTGTAAACAGTACATTTCATTTATCCATAATTAGATTCATGTTCTTATTCATAGTTAGTGTTGTAATCAGTCAAACCTGAGTTTATGCACACGTGTATAATAATATATATACAAATTTAGTACTTCTGTCACAAGGAACTACTGTGAATTGCAATATACTTAAGTATAATTAATGATAAGATAGATACAAGTGTTTATATATTATTACACGTGAGTGTACTTCCTTCTATTGAATTATTAGATTTAATTACGGGACGCCTAAATTATACTCTGCAAGAATAATAATACCCTGAATATTCAAATTTACTCGGTAAGGAATATTAATAATTAGAAGTATTGCGGCTTAGCTATTAATTATCACTCAGTTATTTACTATTTTATTGCTCATATTGAGATATCTGTCTTCACTTTCTTAGTGGGTAAGCAGAGAGAGTTAGAGAACAACAAACTTATATAAATATCTTGCTTCAAATTACTCACAGAAACCAAAATAAATTAAATAACCCTTACTTACAAAATCAGTTCACTATTTCTGAAATTATACCGTCACATACACAAAAAAATATAGTGGAATAGAAAAGTCTTAGGATTTAAATTATATTGGTCTATCTCGATTTTGCCGGCGTAAAACAATATATTTTATTATGTAAAATAAATATAGGCTTTGTCCATTTTGAATGATGTACTTTTCAAATGCTAAAAGAATTATTCAAACAAGTGCATTTATCTCGGAAATGACCCTCCGCATGACAAAAAATTTACACTCTTTCTTTATATTAGCGTATATTTAATACAATTATGTTCAGCGTAAAACAATACATACGAAAACGTTACGGGAATTTATTTTATGCCTGAGTTGCTTGTACAATTCTAAAGGGACGAAAATAATAGATTCAACGCAGCACTATGTTCTACTCTATTCGAAAATCAACGTCCCTCCGGTCCCTTCCTTTATTAAATATCTATCGGAAATTGAAATGACGGAAAGCAGTCCGAATCTTAGTTCCATTATTACCAATTTCCTCAATACAAACGTATTTCTGTACCATAAAATATTTGTTTCATTATATAAGGAATATTAGGTCCCATAACGACCTCTAATATATGAATGTGATGAACTTAAAAGTCCATAAAATTATTATTATTATTTCATTGATTTTATTGTGTTTTTCCGAAGAAACATTAGACAATATACCAGCGCCATTAAGAAGAGATTATTTACCTATGAAATTAAATTATTATTCATTCTATTAAACTCTAAATTATTACTTTGGTTTTAAGAAATGTACACAAAATCATAAAAAAAATATGAAAGAATACTACGAGTATTATGTTATTAATTCATACTTCAAAGGGGTATTTTATACAAAACATCAATTAATAAATAAGTGATGATTCTTATATGTATAAAGTAATTGGATAATACATATATATTTATCTATTTTTTAATATAATAGTTAATAGTCATTAAATTACACCCAAGAGATTGAGATGAAATCTGACCGAACCCGAAAAAGTATGTGTCTATTATATATTTGACGACCTCGGCGGTTTTGCGGTTTAGCACACCGCTTTACGTCTGATGGTTGCGGGTTCGATTCCTCGCACAACACAGATATTTGTATTCATGAGTATGACTGTTTGTATTGGTCTAGGTGTTATCTATGTATAATATGTATATATTTATGGAAAAAAAACATATTTATTTGTATCAGTTATCTAGTACCCATAACACAAGCTTTAGCTAGCTTAACTTGGGTCTAGATGGCGCTGTGTGAATTGTTCTGAGTTTATTATTATATTATTAATAATATATTATATATAGTTTTATTTTATATTATATTATATTATGTATATTATTTCGTACTGAATATACGGTGATGGAAATCCCGTATCAAACTAAAATTAGTCAGAAAAACAACGATAGGATCGCCCTCTACTACGTTGCATTTAAAAATAATGTCGGCATGTCGTGTTGCATTCACCACAAGATAGAATAGACATTACCTCTGACTATCCCATCTGGGATGACAGTCGTGATGTTTTGTTATGTTGATAGTGAATAAACCTAAACAGGAAACATTTCTCGAATTGTTTGCGCTCATCAAACTGTAACGAGCTTTAACCGGTCTCATGCCAACAACTCAACCATGACATTTGTAATGTTTAGGCTTGTCCCTTTACAAATTATAACCTTATCTATAAAAAGTGAGATTATTAAGAATACGTAGATATTTATTTGTATTATATTTCAACCGACTTGCGAAACCAGGTCTTTCGGCGGTATTTTTTATATGAAAAAGTAAACAGATTATGATGACTCTGGTAATCTATAGAGTTTATTTCCGTCTTGGTGTCATACTAAATTTATCAACACTGAAGTATATTTCTTTTGTGGTTCTTAATATATATACTATTTATTAATCTTACAATCATCATCTTAACAATCAATCTATTGTCACAGTGTTTTAAATGAGATTTTCTTCTTTGTTATCTGTGTATTTCTTTGCTCTACAAAAAATATCGTCCTGATGTATACTTGACATGTATCTAGAAAGAAAACTTTTATCCCCTTTTTTAAAAAAACAGTGTATTTACTTTTTTCAATATTTGTTTAAATTAACATTGTTTGTTAATTAGACTTATTAAAATATTATTTTCCAACATAAGCAAGCATTAATACAGATTCAATTTAAAAAGCTCAAAGGCGAAATAATAACACATTATCCACCTATACACACGTATTCGCTACTTTTCTTGTAATAAAATAGCGCCAACATTAAAGGCCACAAAGCATATTTAATCCTGTAAGTAGGTAATTTAAATATTCGAGTCATGTCGTCTGCCCCATTAACGTTAGAGACGGGTCTTTGAAGGTTTTCGCACAACAATCAACAATAAAATGTAGAAATCGAATAAATTTCATTTAGTTTTGGTACAGTGCTTTTTGTATTCTTATTTTTATCTCGAATATTTAAATGCCTTTTCTATATGTTAACTTCGTTTTGTATTGTCAACGACTTTAAATTTACTAAATTCAATTATCATTTGACATATGTATGTATTTTTTTTAAGTTCATTTTTAATATTCTTTATTGTATTCATGACAGTCCTTGTACTCGTCTTCGTGGTATACAACCGACGTCGAGAAGCCCACATCAAATATCCGGGTCCTGATGATGATGTACGCGAAAATATTATCAACTACGATGATGAAGGAGGTGGTGAAGATGATATGACCGCCTTTGACATCACCCCACTTCAGATACCAATTGGTGGCCCCCTACCCGATCATGCACCTGCAAAACTACCATGTGAGTAAAATTGAGAAACTAATAAAAATGTAACTGATCTCTGTCTGTAAGATATATAAGTTTGTGAAACTTTATCAACGTGATAAAACCTAAAACATTGGTAGTTAGAAAATTTGTCTTGTGTTCGCGCGCAACAATCTTAAGTACCTAATGACTTAGCCGATTTGAATTCGATTTTCACTACGGCACTGTGGAAAATTTCCTTTAAAATTTGAGTTTGTGTTATTTCTATCAGATTACACCTGATAAAATTATGCAAGTATGGAGTTGAAGGCTCAGCCAGTAAATTAATATAATTAAATATCAGAGAATCACAGTATTTGTCTGATCCTCAATTATAAATTCCCGTTATATGAGAAACTAGGAGACGAACGCAACCAAGGGAAGATAATCTAGAGAATCGATCTAATCGGGACTTAATTAACGTAAACCAACGTACCATTATAATTTACACTATGTAAATTATCAAATTACAGTAATTGTAATAGTGCCGTCAACTATTTGTCAAAGGTGTAGGTACAATAGACGCTCATTGTAATTAAGTTGCTATTACATATTTAATACACATCTGAAGCGTAACGATAGTGCTCTATTTTAGTAATATAGCACCAATACCTATTAAATTGAATAATCTTTTGTATGTAATAAGAGTATAGAGGTAATTAACTCCATTTCGTTTCGACGTGCTCTAAAATATCTGTAAACATTCATTAACTATAAATAAAGCAAAAGTTTTAAATGTATATTTATATTTTTGTTACCTGGCATAAAACACAGTATACTATACAGTTTTATGAACATTGTCACACCACTGAACCGTGACTTGATGAGATTAACTTATTCATTTGTTGGCATAAAAGGCGATACTCTGTACGTAAGATAAAAATTTCTACATAAATATTTCCGATACTGAAACGTGTAACCTTCAATGAAGGTTGATTGTATGCCAAGTTATTTACCTTGTTTACTATACATAGTCAGGTTTCTTCTATTTCATTATATAATAAACTTTTTTTAATGAATACGTTAAAAGCTTAATAAAGTCAAATTAATTAATTAACATAATGAATATTTAACGAAACCGTAAATAAAAAAGTAACCGCAAACTGTCTACGTGTAAGTAAATATTACGTGTGATTTTTCTATTATTTTAAACATCATAACATAATAAAAAGTAGGTAACTTGTCTTCTAAGATACTGTATTGTAAAGTATACTTGTCATGCGTAGACCTAGTAACAGAGATTGTACTGAAAATATGATGGATCATTTATATTCAAAACAACTTCAATTCAGTCTCTTTCTAGATTCGTAATGTCAAATGTGTTTTCAAGATCCGTTGATGGGTGTCGGACTCGGAGTGGGGCCCATGGGAGTGGCACCAGGAGTCGGGGTCCCCCTGCCAGGAGAGACGAATGTCGGAATGTTCATCGAGGAGCACAAACGACGAGCGGATAGCGACCCTAACGCACCCCCTTTCGACGACCTCCGCAACTACGCATATGAAGGCGGCGGCAGCACAGCCGGCTCCTTGTCTTCTCTCGCATCTGGTCAGTATACGATAGACAGCAAAATATATGATAACATTAATTCATACAACAATAGATGTTTCCTCCGACATCGTCAGCATTTCTTAGACAAGAGATAACCTATGTTCGTCCTAGTGATACTATCTCCACACAAAATTTCATTAAGATCAGCTCGTTCGCTTAGTCGTGAAAAGGTAATAGACAGACAGTCACAATTTCACACTATGGAAGTATTGAAATAAATATACTGTCTTCTATACGTTTTACTATTTTAAAAGTCCACGCCTATGTTTAGCTACATATAAATTCCCCTTTTACTTGTAACATAAAAATTTCAAAGGAAAAATAATTAAAGATTCAAGTTCTAGAAGTGGAACTTTTGTATTGTCCTACTCCCTGGAATCGTGCAGCAAACAAATTTTATTGTCTTGCTCAATTTAAAAATGTTTTCGTCAGATAGTAGGTATTTTTAAGCAGACTATATACAGAAGAATTAAATAACAAAAATCTATTGAGAAAAATAATAAATGCGATGAAAGACTGGTGCATTAATTTTATACTATTGAATACAATGTCATCTCGACTAAACTAGACTTCTATAATATATATTTGTGTGAATCCTTTATAACGTCACAAAAGTACTACTACAACACTAGTATTTTATTGAACAAGATCACGAGATCTGTCGTCAGCGAACTTCGAACGTGACACCGTTTTAAAATTTATGGTTTCGACTTCAGGCGATTCGTTCACAATGTACCTGTGAAGCGAAAAATTGAAGTCCCTCGCTTCCTATATGAATAAATTATTCATACAAATTCTAAAACAATCCGGTTATATTCAGGTACCGACGATGAAGTCCACGAGTATGACTACCTGGGCGCGTGGGGCCCGCGCTTCGACAAGCTCGCCGACTTGTACGGGCCGGAGCTCGACGAGCAGCTGTAGATGCTCGCTTCCCCCAGCCGTCGACCACTCGGCGGCATAATTTAGTCAATTGTCTCTCACTATCCTACCCACTAAGCCACCCTAAGCCTGCTATCTCGGGAGCGGCACTCCTTGACGGGGCCGCTAAGTTTAATTTTGTAAATAAACAAATGGGACGACTACAACGCTCCACACGACTTATAATTCTTATCAATTTTATACGACTTTATTTGTAGTAGTTAATATGTTTAGCTTAAGTATACCTACTCATTTAAGATAATTATATATATATTTAATTGCGTCGTTTTTTATAAAGTTTAATCATATATCTCCACCAAATATTTGATATAAGTTTTTATTCGATTTAGCCATATTATGAGTCAGTATTTTATTGGGAAGTTAATTAGTTAAGCGGATTTGTGCAGAAGGGTCAGAAGTGAATCTGAACGGTGGGTGTTTGTAGATAGTGTGCTATAAATGTGAATAATTTATACGAGTATTTTGTAAGTCCACAGCTTTACGTGATATCACATTAATGAATGGCCCTTCTGCATAAAATCATTTATTATTTAATGTGAAAGAATATGTTATATTTTATAATAACGTAATGATAAAATTAAATAAAATGTCCATTTGGACATCGAGTTTGTAATGCTCATTCAAAATGTGAAATGTATGTAAATGGGGTATGTAAATACAATAATAACGGAACAGCTACCCCTATTACCTTAAGTATAACTCATTATGATAAGTAATTCAACTCTATGTTAAGTGAACTGTACAGTAACTGGTGTAACTCTCCTAAAGTCTCCGTGTAGTGCTAGCTAATTAGAATTGTCTGGGAGCCACTACGGTCTACTCATAATTTTAGGTAAATAAATTATAGTCATGGCTCTTGGAGATTTTCAGTTGTGACGCGGATTTGTGCGTGGCATGTGTATGTGTATGGCAGTTTGAATGGGACGTGTATGACTAAATGTATGTATGTATTTAATGTGCGCGTATGTGTATGGGCGCGAGTCTCTCAGGATACCGCGCTGATATGTATGGAGGGACTGTGCCAATTTATTAGCATTATCGATGCAGCTAATGACGGTAGGATTAAGTGTTTGCACTTTATTTATTCGTATGTTTAAATATAAATTTAGTCGCACCTAGGAAAATATCAATAACTTATTAAGAGTGTTGTGCTAGAATACTATTCTACCGATTTTGACGTGAGATAGCTGTCGAGACCATTAGAAGTCACTAATTTATAAAAAAAGTAATTTATAAGAATTTATAATAATAATAATTTTAATAAACAAAGGTTCCAGACAGTGTCTCACTTCGACATCGAATTACGATCAGTGTAAATTCTAGAATACACTGTATTGCGTTAAATGACTGATTTAATTATGCGTTTGAAAGCCTAAGATTTTGTAGATTCGGTTATTTAATTATAGACTTGAAATACCTTATTCTAAGGTCACCCACTAGTTTGCACTAAAGACAAATATTATTCAAGTACATCAATATTAAAGCAATTCTCGTTAATTATTATTCGTGTAAGTAGACATTTAATACCTAGTTAGTCACGGTTTATATTACTATTTAAGTTTCATTAAATATCATTACACTGCCAGTATCATATATATACCTAAAGACGAATTACGATAGTTATTTGGTCCGATTTTATATTTCAGTCTATACAACACGTTATATTGTAAGTTTTTTGACTCTTTATAAACTGATACATTTCCACAACATCGTTGTTTCGCTATGAAACTTCGACTCCACTGACCTACACAATAAGCTCTGCGGTGTGTTTAAGTATGTACCTACCTCTCATTTCAAGGTCCCTTGTAATTCATTAATAATGTACATAGTACATAGATATGTGTAACATACTTCTATTCTCTCGTAAACGTCAAACATATGTTACCGAAACCAAGACGTGTACCTATTCGCGTTTGTGAATGAATATTGCGAAATATGAATGTGTTAATTTGAAATTTACTACAATAATTAAACCCATACCCTTTATGACTATTAACGTCTTAATCTCCCAATTATGTTCCTAATTATTAGTATCGTACATTTTATCACCGTGGAAATTGGTATATAATGGAACTTGTATTAAAAAATCTGAATGCTATTACTGAATGCTACAAGTAATAACAGCTGTGAGGGATAATTAACATAAGAGGCGACCGCTCTTATTCGATTGTTAACATTGAGCTTTACTACTTCTTTCTTCATCTTAATAAATTAAATAAACAATATCAAATAGCCATACCTTATAATTCAATTTAATATTTCGCATTACATATCAAACACTCACTTTAGTTCCGATTTCATCTAAAACAGTTTTTTTAATTTTGCATGGGTCTTTATCATTTGATATTGCAAACTCTACAAATGGGTTGCAATTGCAACTGAAATCATTCATTTAAATGGAAAGCTGGATTAGTTAGTTGAATTTGAGAATTGTTAGCGACTATATAATAATAGTTAGTCATCGGTTGTGCCTGCTGATAACTGATACTGATTTCAAATAATAATTATACGTTTAATGGGCTATATTTAATTTACAATAACTATAAAGGAGAGTGAATATTAGAAATACTGGATTAGAAATACAAAATACGCTTGACACTTATTTCCCAATTTTGAAACTATGGTGTAAATATAAATTGTGTATATCAACGTTAACAATCGAATGTGAGTTTATTCTGAATGGTATAATATAATTATTGAGATATTGTATAAACGTAGAGAAGATGATTGCAGTAACACATCTTACGGCACGATATTCACTAACCTAACACTAAAGTTGATAGTGAAGTATGTTGTCGATAAATAAATTTACTTGTATTAATTTATTCTTAATGTCAAATATACATTTCAAACTCTTAAAACAATACTTTTAATTTTGTCTCAATTATTATTAGTTGAGTTGAAACTCTAGAGCGTCTTCTCTAGTAAATACGTTAGTATATAATAACTCAATGCATTGCATTAGATTGAATCTGTTATGCAGCTGTTACCATTGTCATACACGTACCTACTTACAATAAAAAACCAGCAGAGCACACAACCCTAGTACAAATAATAAACAGGTGCGACCAGCAAGGTGATTATTGACGGAATCGATTACTATCAACTCAAAACCAATACTCAATTTTTATACCCAATAGGTATATACTTTATTTTGGTATACCTATAGTGTTTTTATTTACAAATAAAATGTTATCTACCACATTTTCTTAGACCTCCGTTCCATATAGTCACGTCAAAAGTCAGCCTGCAGTATCGTGGCGCCGTACTGGTGCATTCTGTATTTTGATTTATACAATTATTATTAATTAACTACCGTATAGTTATGTTTTGTTTCAACTGTGATTATTTAGAACTACAACTCTGATGATTACATAAAAGAATGAATAAAAATATGAAAAAAATACTTGGTTTTATTTTAGCCAATTTATGCTTTATGGTTTTATTTTCCCAATTAAAGAGATTATATTTACGCGTAAATTTATATCCTCACTATTCATAAAATGGAAAACTTAAACTTTATTGTATTAAGAATGTTTTTGGAGTGTATTTTACTAACTTAATATAAGTTAGTAATATTTCTATACTTGTTACTTCTTAACGAAGTCTAACACTAGGTATATGAACTAGTACGACATTTTCCACAAAGCGTTAATTAATTTGTAACCTGGTATAGTATAGGTATTGTTAGAAGTCAGATAAACTTTTCTTAATTCATACCATAAATCATCCATTAAAAATTATTGTTATCTTAAAAAGAAGGATTGAACGGTGAATTTTTCAAATATCCTGTAGAGATTATAAGCAATCTATGGAAGATTGCTTATAATGGTGTTAAAAAAGACTATTCCTCAATTTAACAGTGAGATTTGATTATAAATCCTACTAAAATTACATTACAATTTAAAATCACTCGTCCACAAAATGTGGAATTCAGAAACTTCTTCTTGTTAATCGGTAGTATAAATCTCCCAAGATGCTCAGTGTTTCACTGAAAGATATCATAAAAAAAATATGTCTTGATGTTTTTACTTCGTTTTAATAAAGGAAAATGTCTCCAGCTCCTGTCTTAAGATTCACGACTGCTGAATTCACTGAACAAGAAAAAGTTGAGAATAATTCTCAAGAAGTTTAACCAGTTCTACCTATTTCAAGCTATTTAATGTACGAATAAAGACGTAGTAAAATTTAATAATCTGTTTTATCTTTACAGGACATTAGAAGCACAAGATATATTAGCATCTTTTAAAATTTCGTAACATAAGTTACCATGGCGTAACGCCTGGTAAATTGCTGTGTGTGGCACAATAAGCTGACACCGCTACCAGGAACAGCAAATTACCACGAATCGGCACCTAACACCAATTATTAATTGTTATATTTTTTACAGTAGTCTTGTTCGATCTTTAGACATAATTATACATTTTGTACCTTAAATAATTTCATTTGTTTTAATTAAATAAAATATATTTTTTAAAAGGCAAATATCGCCCGCCGTAACATAAGTGGCGCAGTCGGTAGGATCGCGGCACTCTAGGACTTTGTAAATAGAAGTCCTCGCGTGAATAGACTCTTCGTGTGTTGAGAACTAGAGTGAACGGTGCTAATCGTTACTATCCGCGATCTCATAATAAGAACTATAACGGCGGCATATTGAAGACTTGCGGGAATCCGGAAAATTGGAGACCTGTGATCGACGAGACCCGAAACGGAGATGCAGAAGATGCTGTGTTGGTGAGTACTCTATTACTTTCCAAGTACATCCTATGCTCTATTTCCTTTCGTATTTAATTATAAGTGAACTTTAATGTGTATCTGTCTATAGGCTCGTATCGCTATAGATTTCACAAGTCAATTTAAAATCAATTGAATTCTGTGTGTATACACGTATTAATAGTAGTATAGTTATTATCATAAATATAAAATATTATTAAAATGGAGTTCGCAGCCGACTATAAGATGATTACTGACCTCATGCCCAAATACGATGGGAACCCTAAAAGATTAAACTTTTATTTAAGAGAAGTTGATAATTTAATGGGACTTATCCACCCAACAGCGGATGCAGGCTCTCTAGCTATAGTTTGTCTTATAAAAAGTCGCCTTAGTGGTGCGGCGATTGACGCGATAGCTTATGAGGAGTCATTAAACAGTTGGCCCGATATAAAACGCGTTCTACTAACACGTCTAGGAGAACCTAGGAACGAGATTCAAGTTATGCAAGAGCTCACACGTATCCGTCGGAATAAAAACGAGGATGCGGAATCCTTCGGTAAAAGGATTAGGGACCTTTTAGATACTCTGTATATGGTTGGGCAACACACCGACAAATCGTACTATGAGAAAATGGCTATTGAGCAATATATCAGTCAATTGGACTTCCATATATCAATAGGCGTAAGAATTATGATGCCAGGTACATTGGAACTTGCAATAGTAACCGCACGACAGGAGGAGACGAAATCAGTTACTTATAAGAATAATTCTAGTTTTAATTCCCAAAACCAACAGCAAAAAGCTACAAAAATAGATAATTATAAACCTAATAATTTTCCACGTCAATTTCATGGTCAAGTAGGTACACCATTCAATTTTTCAACGCAGCCACATTTTTCACAACAAATGCCATTTAATCAATATGTACCTCAACAAAATAATCTCAGCCCGGAACAACGGCAACAGTTAGTTAATTCATTATTACCCTGGAAGAATAGACCAACCCCCGGTACTTTTAAGCAAAACTCAGGCAACTTTAGGAGTAACAATAACCATCAAAGACAGCCGAACGTCCCACAGCAACAGGTAAGTCCGAATCAACTTACATCTGACGTCACTATGCGATTGGTTAACAAACCGACACCTCCACAATATGCATATGAGGAATTATTCTACACTCCGTACGAAGGTAAGTCCGACACACCTCAGTATTATTGCAACCCGTTAGATTATTATTCCCCTCATGACGAACAGCATAACAATTACTACCCTAACACTAACTTAATAGAAGAACAAATTGAAACATCTCAGGATTTTTCCGAAACTCAGGACGAAGACGAAGAGAGTTGATAAAACTAAACCACCAAGATAAAGATCATCTCCCGTACATAATAATCCCCGAGTTTAATGGAAAGTTTCTCATTGATACTGGCGCCTCACGTTCTATGATATCGCCCGATGTCATTCAATACGCGAAACTCGAACAATGCATCGATTACGAACCATTCGAGGTAAAGACAGCTCACGCGGTGACGCAACATGCATATGTCGCTCATTTGCCCCTACCATCAGTCTTTAACTCGAACATCACTCACAAATTTCTCATTTTCGAGTTTGACAATAAATATAAAGGATTAATTGGATTAGACCTATTAAAATCACTCTCGAGTAATATTGATTTAAAAAATAAAATACTTCGCACCCATACTACTGACATACCAATTTATTTCGATTACCCCAAAAAGAATATTCGATTAGAACCGATGTGCCAAAAAATAATTAAAATTAAATGTAACTACACAGACGGACAGTATATCCATGACGAGTACAGTTGGACACCCGGTTTAGTATCTCCCGCGGCAATAGTTAAAGTTCATAATGGGACATTCCTAACATCAATCATTAATTCAAATACAGAAAAGAAAATGATTACAAACAAATCCCCAATCGAATTACAACCATATAAGCAAAAAGAAAAACCGATTCATTATTCATATTCAATGCAAAGTAATATAAATATTGATAAAGAACTATGTGAAAATTTAAAGAAAATTCGATCTAGCCATATGAACGAAGAAGAGGAACGCGAGATAACTAAATTGTGCTATCAGTATAGAGATCTATTTTATTCCGAAAACATCCCTTTAACCTTCACTCACGCTGTTAAACACGAACTAAGATTAACTGACGACACCCCGATTTTTGTACGTAGTTATAGACAAGCCCCACAACAAGCACAACAAACAATTGATTAGAAATTAAATCCCAAATCGATAACCTTATGAAACAAGGCATTATCCGCGAAAGTATATCACCATGGTCATGCCCTGTACACATAGTCCCTAAGAAGCCTGACGCTT